GAGGAGGAGGAGGAGGAGAAAGAGGAGGAGGAGAGAGAGGAGGAAGAGAAGTGGAGGAGGAGGAGGAGGAGGAGGAGGAGGAGGAGGAGGAGGAGGAGGAGGAGGAGGAGGAGGAGGAGGAGGAGGCAAAGGAGGAGAAGCAGGAGTGAAGGAAGACGTGGAGGTGGCCGAGGATGAGGACGAGGAAGCGCGCCGCAGCAGCGCGAGTCAGCCAGCCGCCCGAAGCGCCACTACCCCGAGCCTGCGCAGGGGTGCCGCCCGACGGGCCCCACAGGGCCTCCGAGCGGCGGAAGCACGGGCGAGCCCGCGCGCGCGGGGCCCTGGACACCATCCGAGGTGCCAGGGCCCCGACCGTGCCGTCGAACACGAGCGTGCCGATGAGCACCACCATGTGCAAGGAGGGGGAGGTACGGTGGCCCGGCCGCGAGAAGGCTAGGCCATCACCGTCCCCCACTGCCACCTCCCCATGCGGCCCCGCGCGGCAGCCGTTCGTCCAGGGGCCCGCTCTTCGCGCTGCTGAGGACGCGGATGGCCTGCTCGAGCGAGATCCCGCACGCCTCCGAGAACGCCATGAGGCGCTCCATGGAGCGGGTCTCCATCGCGTCGGCGCCACCCGCACAAGGGCCAACTACCAGCAGCAGGCGCCGCCGCACCGCCCCCGTCGCCATGGCCAGCACCTGCCTCCGCCGACGGCGGACCGCCCGCTCCAGCCGTGCCAGCCCCAGCACGAAGGCCGTTGGCCCACTCGTCGTTGGTCATCTCCTCGTCGGCGGGGTCGGCCGCCGCCGCGGCCCACCTGCACGAGGGAGAGGCCCGCGCACTCCGACCCGGCCGCCGCCGCAGCGCCAGCCTCCCCCGCAGCGGGGGCCGCCGCAGCTGCCTTCCGAGCCGCCCTGCGGCGGCGGCGGCGGCGCCGGCGCAGCGCGGCGTGGGCCCCAGGAGTATCGGCGGTGGACAAATCTCCCTTTAGTGCACCTCCCCTTAGAGAAAACGGCCTGGGACCGAAACCGACGGACCTGGACCCGCAAAAATGACCGCCGCGACGCCCTCTCACGAACCGAAAAAACGGCCAATTCCTTAATCGACGTGTCAGGGTAGGAGGTCTGTCCACCCCCGAGATGAGGAGCCACCGCGCCCTCAGGGTCGGGACGCGGCTGTGGATCTGGAGGTGCGGCCCGTGCACCGGCGGCAGGCCGTACGGGTGGCGCCTCGCCGGGCGTGAGTATAGCACGGCGGAGGCGGCCGGCCCGGCCACGGCGGCCACAGGGCGCCGCGGCGCTCCTCCCAGGACGGCGCCCCGCACGGCCGCGCCCACGAGCGCGGCAGCCGCGGGCGGAGGCGCGCAAGCCCCGCTAGGCGCCATGTCGCGGCCGCGCCGGCGCCGAACGACGTGGCCACGGGACGACGCCGTGCGAACGCTCGAGCAAACATGGAGAGGAAAAAAACGAGGAGGAGGACGAGGAGGACGAGGAGTAGGAGGAGACGCAGGAGGGGGAGGGAGAGGGCGTGGAAGGGCAGGAGGAGACGGAAGAAGAGAACGACAAGGAGGGGGGGGAGACGGAGGAGGAGGAGGAGGAGGAGGAGGAGGAGGAGGAGGGAAGAGGAGGAGGAGGAGGAGGAGACGAGTGGGAGGGGGAGGAGTCGGAGGAGGAGGACCATGAGGGTGAGGGGAAGCATGGGAGGGGAGGACGAGGATGCGGAGGGGAGGAGGTGGAGAGGGAGGACGAGGGGAGGACGAGAAGGGGGCACCTTCGCCGCTCTGCAGTCGAAGGCCCACTGCAGGGACCCGCCGCTCGCCGTCGCCAGGGCCTCGGGCAGGCCCAGGGCGGCGGCCTACGGTCGGCAGGGAGGCAGGCGGGCATCCCCCCCCCGCTCCATATCCATGCTGCTCCTGCTTCTGCTCCTGGTCCTGTTCGAGTTTCTGTTCCTGTTCCTTCTGCTCCTCCTCCTCCTCCTCCTCCTCCTCCTCCTCCGAACTCGCCCTCGCGCGGCGCACGACTGCCATTACACACCGAAGCGCTGATGAAGACGGGCCACAGGCGGTTGTCAGACTGGAGCTCTCGCATGGGCGCCGCACGGGTTCGCCTTGCAAATTCTGCGGCAGTTGCCTTCCGACCCTTGCAGCAGCTGCAGCACGCGAGGGCGGCCGCAGTTTCAAAGTGCAGCTCGCGCAGCAGCGCGGCCACACGGCCGCCCATCAAAAGCATGCGGCGGCCACCAAGGGTGGAGGACGGCCCCTCTGCAAAAGCGGGGCTCCCTCTTGGAACGCCAGCACTTGAGGGATGGAAAAACGACCCTACCCTGGGTTACAAGTGCGTGGTCTGTAGACCTCCTGGGACCCCCCAAAAGCCCAGAGCCGCCAGGACGCGGCACATCACGCAGGGCTTACCCCTGTCAGCCCACGGGAGTTTCAGCGCACAGCGCCTCGTAAACCAGGGTAGGGGCGCTTTTTCTCCTGCCCTTGAAGTACATCAACACCATACCTGCGTGGATGGAGCGCGGCTCCCTTCGGGTCGGGCGAAAGGGGGGGATAGCAAAGGGGGGGTTTGAGAATCAGCTCACGTAGCTGATTTTCCCGGCGCCTCCCGGCGCCAGAGGCGGCTATGTATCGAGGAATGGGCCCCTCGGTGAGGCCGAAACCAGCTGCATGCAGCAAATTTCGTAACCCCCCCTTTCCCAATCCCCCCCTTTCGTCCGGCCCGATCCCTCTCCAGATGGGGCACGCGACTGATACGCCATCGAGGCCCATGACCAGAGGTGCACCGGAGCAGCAGTTGCGGGCATGGGGGGGGGGGGCAGCCCGCCGCTCCAGGCGGGGGTCTCGCTGGACGCCCTGGTGAACTGTGTATGATCACCACGTCTGCGCGTTCTCTCTTGCGCGCTGGAGGGATGCACGACGAGGAGCACGAGGAGGACGAGGAGGACGAGGAGGAGGACGAGGAGGACGAGGAGCACGAGGAGCTCGCGCCTCAATGGCAGGACCATCGGGTTCTGTCCTTTTCCAGGGGTGCGCTTATTGCGGCAGAGAGGAAGGATTGCAGGGACTTGTTAGGGACTTGGGACAGGAGGGTGCATTGCAGCATCGCTGGTGCATCGTGGGGTTACTCTGGACCTCCTCCTGCTCCTCCTCCTCCTGCTTCTCCTCCTCCTGCTCCTCCTCCTCCTCCTCCTCCTCCTCCTCCCTCCCCCTGCTTCTCTCGCCCCCCACCCCTCCCTCGTGATCCGCCCCCACCGTCCTCCCCTCCCGATTCCTCTTCTTACGCTCGCCTGCGCCATAATCAGCATCGTCATCTTTTCGTCCTCATCATCCCTCCCCTACTGCGCTGCCCCAAACTATTTTTCGAGTGCCTTCTCTCCACCCTTGCCCGCTCCCCCGAGCCCACCAATTCTGCTACTCTTGCATCATCACCAGCGTGAACAGCAAAAATATCACCATAGCCACCTTCATCAGCACCATCATCATAGTAGTCGCCGCCGTCATCACCACCACCACCACCGCCACCACCATCATCACCACCAGCCTCACCAGCACTATCAGCAGCATCAGCATCAGCACCAGCACCAGCATCACCACATCACCATCATCCCCACCATCCTAATCATCCTCGTCACCAACACCATCACCATCACCACCGCCAGCATCGTCATTGTCATCATTATCAACGCATCAGCACCATCATCACTATCAGCATCATCATGATCATCATTATTATTATGATGACTATAATTACTACTAGTAGCAGTCTTACTATTATCATCATCACCATCATCCGCGTCAGCATTAACATCAACAACATCAGCATCAACATCAGCCTTAGCAACGGCATCAACGTCCTTGTCAGCATCAGCCTCCTCAGCATCATCATCATCATCATCATCATCATCATCATCATCATCATCAGCAGCATCATCATCAACATAATCAACATCATAGTATTCCTTATCGTTATCTGTCTCTCTTCCTCCTCTTCACCCTCCTCATCCTTCTCTTCTGCTTCAGTCCCCTCCGTGTTCTCATCATCCTTCTAGTCCTCCTCCTTTTTCTCATCTTCCATCCCATCCCGCGTCTAGTCCCCCACGATCCCCACTCATCGTCGCCCCTTCCTCCTCCTCCTCCTCCTCCAGCTCCTCCTCAACCTCCTGCTCCTCCACTTCATCTTCCTCCTCCTCTTCCTCCTCCTTCTCCTCGTCCTCATCATCATGTGATCAGCCACATATTGGCTTCGTGCGCAAGGCCCACCGTCGCCACACTCCTCTCTGCTGGGCTGGTCACGGTCGGCAAGCAGGAGTGTCATTCGTCTAGGCCCCTTCCACGGAAGGCCCCAGGACGCAGCCCATGACAGTCCATGACAGCACTCCTCCTCCTCCTCCTCCACAACCTCCTCCTTCTCTCTGCCCCCTCGTCTTCTCGTCTCTCCTCCTCCTTCTCCTCCTCCTCCTCTTTCATCCTCCTCCTTCGCCTCGCGTCCTCGTCCTCCCCACTCCCCCCCCCCCTCTAGAAAGCCCTCCCCCGGAGGCCATGCGATTGTCTCTCAGCAGCGGAAGCAGCTGCAACACGTCCACTCCCTCGGCGCCCTGTCGGGGCCAGGGATCGGGGGGAGGGAAGGGAACGACGGGGGGCGAAGAGAGGAGGAGGAGAGGGATGGGAAGGGGACAAGGGGGCAAGGGGGGAGAGGGGAGTGGTTTGTGGACAAGCTAGGTGCGCTCGCGTCATATCTGACGTCCTACCCCTCCCTCCCATCCCTGACCATGGCGTAGATCTCCTCTCCATTCGCACAATCAGATGTCGCAGCCTGGCATAGCATTACATGGCATAGCATGACGTCGAATCTAAACGCGTAGCATGACATAGCTTGGCGTGGCGACGCTCCAAGGTGGGGTGGGGGGAGCTTCCGCGGCCCAGAAAATCAACGAATCGACACCGATTGTGGAATCACTTCCGATGGTTTCTTCGGGAGGCCATTTTCTAGATTTTGGGGACTCTTTGGAAGGACCGAAAACCATACACTCGAAAAAATGACGCCAGCGCTGCAGCGGGAGCACGATTCGGAACGAGCGGAAGCGCTGAAATGAGGCCAACGCTGCAGCGGGAGCACGATTCGGAACGAGCGGTAGCCCGAAAATGAAGCCAGCGCATCAGCAATAGCAGCATTTCGAAACAACAGAAAAGGAAAAACATCGTGGAAGCGCGGAAATCAGGACGCGTAGCCTGACATGGCATGGCGTGGTGACGCCCCAAACTGGGGGGGGCTTCCGCGGCCCAAAAAATGAACGAATCGAGACCGAATGTGAAATCAATTCCGATGATTCTTGTCGGGGGTCCATTTTATAGATTGGGGGGCCTATTTGGAAGGACCGGAAACAACGCCGTGGCATGGCGCTGGAAACAAAGACGGGAACGGCTGCAGCGAGAGCACGATTCGGAACGAGCGGAAGTGCAGGAATGAAGCCAGCGTTGCAGCGGGAGCACGATTCGGAATTTTGAACCTATTGGGCCACGAAACGTGTGAGGGGTGTGCCGAAATGGGTATGGGGGACGCATGTGGACGGTGGCACTGGGGCCTTCGGTGGAGCTCTTTATGGGGCCACGAAACGCTGTACTGGGTGGGTGAAACGCAGGGAAGAGGAAGGAGGGGAAGGAGGGAGGAGGAGAGGAGAGGAGAGGAGAGGAGAGGAGAGGAGAGGAGAGGAGAGGAGAGGAGAGGAGAGGAGAGGAGAGGAGAGGAGAGGAGAGGAGGAGAACGCGGGGCGACGTCTCTTCAAAACGAGGACCCAACACCACAGGATGGTTGGGAAAAAAAACGAGTCCGAGATTGCAAACATCAGAAATCGCAGAATTGCGCGCGAGGCCAGGAACCCTTGGAGCGCGAAAGCGCGAATCTGCGGACGCATAGCCTGACATAGCATGGCGTGGTGACGCCCCAAAGGGGCTTCCGCGGCCCAAAACATCAACGAATCGACACCGATTGTGTAATCACTTCTGGTGGTTTCTTCGGGAGGCCATTTTCTGGATCTTGGGGCCTCTTTGGAAGGACCGGAGGCCATGCCGTGGCATGGCGCTGGAAATAAAGACGCGAACAGCTGCAGCGGGAGCACGATTCGGAACGAGCGGAAGCGCTGAAATGAGGCCAGCGCTGCAGCAGGAGCACGATTCGGAACAAGCGGTAGCCCGAAAATGAGGCCAGCGCTTCAGCGAAAGCAGCATTTTGAACAAAAAACCTATTCCCGGGAACTCTTCGTGTAGAAAACCAATACGCGCAGGAGGGGGCCGGACATTCCCCAGACGCCACCAAGGGAGAGAGGAGAGTAGTATTCATATTGTGTAATTGTAGAGGGGGGGCGGGGGATGGTGGAGGAGTTCGCGCAGGGCGATGGGCAGGGGGGACGGCTAGCAAAATGGGAGAACGAATTGTGGGGGTGGTGGGGAATGGGAGGACGACGCAAGGCGAAGGGATGGACTACGGAAGAGTGGGGATGGTGGTGAGGGGAAGAGATGGAAGAAGGGGACTATGGGAGGGGGATGAGGGAGGGGGTAAGGGGAGGGAGCGGGGGTGAAGAATGCAAACGACTGCGATTCTCATGGAGGCCTCGCACACGTGCACTGTTTGTTTGAGGACCAGCAGACTTCATCACGTGCACCAATTGTGGACAGAAGAACTGAGGCTGTGCCGAACGCGAGCACGAAACGCTAGTTGACCAAATGAGGCCGCCCTGAGTCTGCGCCGAACGTCACTGAAGCGAATGGTGTATGCAATGTGGTCGCACCGAGGCGACTGTGCCAAATGCGTGTGCCACTGCGCCCCAAAACGGACGTGCGCACACCTATGCACATGCGTATGGGGAAGAGTAGATCCACATGCAAGTTTTTACACCTACAGCAACTCACGTGCACGTTCGCGTGATGCGCGCGTCTGTAGTGTGCGTGCGTGCGTGCCCTGCGTACGCGCGTGTGCGCGCGTACAAGCTCGACTGAAAGCGCGAGTGCATGATCGCATGATGGGATGGTGGGCGTGTCGAGCGATGGAGGCCCACACTGAGAAACACGCAGGGGCAGGGGCACGGACGCACTCACGCGCGAAACGGCGCAGCAAGCATGACGACTGGCCGACCCTGGAGGCGTGATGGAGGAAGCCGCACATCCTCCGCCCGCTTTGAAACGGCCCCGCCCTGCTCGCTGCCAGACCTGGGCACACCTCGCCCGCGCCAC